AACGGTCCGCTTGCCGATTAGTCACCCGGAGGAAATTCCAGATTTTTGGGACCTTCCGCCCACCCCTCGCGACCGTCTCCCACCCTTCCAAGGTGACAGCGCGCTAAGGGTGCACTGGAAGGGTGGTAAAGACGATATTAGACACGCTGATTGGCAAATGCAATTGTTCACCATTAACCAATCAGCGTGTCCTAACAAATTCCCTCTCACGGACGTCCGAGACGCGACGTCGGAGAGTGAGTCGTCGAGTAGTTGTTCAACCACCACGAACAAGGAGAACCAAGGAGCAACCAGCTGACATCACGCGATACCATAGATCAGTTTTTACAAGTCCCAATCATTTGGGTGGTCCTTCGAACCAGTATCTAGACGGCACAACATCGTGCAAACATCCACAAAGCTCGAAAGTTCATCGCCACAACCACGGGCATTAACAATGAACAAACTCATAAAATAACCCACGTAGCAGCTTTGTTTCGTCTTTTAATCGTTCTCCGTGCCAGGGTTGTGGCCAAAATATGCGCGGTTTTTATTCTCGAAACTCGACCGATTTGCATTAAGCGGCTCTGTTTTCGCGTTAATTTATCGCGTGGATATGTTTTATGCCTCTCTTCTGCTTTATGACGCACAGTTACAGCCTCCAATGAGACGGTAAAACAACCACGGAAGAGAAACACCGAAATTTCGTAACGCGACACGTTTGAGATAAAACAAATTTTTTTTCCGCGTGACCGCCGCCAGATACGCGAACGTCACCGCAATTAATTCATTCCACGTCGTTCTGCGAATGCGAATCCCGTTGTTGAATCGTCGTTCATTTGGAAGCGATAAATGGCACCCGCAGAGCACGGCTTAATTCCGCTTAAACGCGAAATTGAAGGTTTGGTGTTGAACCTCATTCGAGTCTCGATTCATTGGGGACACTTAAGAGATCTTGATGATTCTAATTGGTCAATTACGTTTTAAGGCTGGTGACAAATGTGTGCAGGAAACGCAACTCGTTCGTTAATTAAATTTTCTCTAAATTCCTTGAAGCGTAAACGAGGAAAATAAAATGAAGGATACAGGAGATCTGTCTGCGAATTTTTGCTAAATTCTAAATAAGACTGATTAGTTTTTTAGATAAATCACTAGGTAATGGTTCAGGGGAATTTAAACATTGATCGTATTTTCCATAACTTTCGAGGTATCTTTTACAAAATGCTAAGTCGTACAAAAGAAAGAACCTTTATATAGTACTGTAAATCATCGAAGGAATTACCGTTTCTTAATTAACCGATCAATAATGTTCATGTCGCTTGTCATCGTTTTTATCTAGCTAATTGCCAATTAAAAGAAGTTCTTTGTCTTCAACGATAAGATTCATCTTAACACATTCGATGTTACTGACGCAACTGTTGCGCTTTGTTTTTATCGAATATTCGTTGTTGTCACGACGTTACCATTGAAACAAGAATGTTGTACAGCAGTGATAATTGTTCGGTGTACTTACTTGTTGAAAAACAAACTGATACTTGTTACAAACATTTTTACTTAAAATAAAAATATATTTGATAAAAAAAATTTGCAACTCCTGGGAAGGGATACACGCATTTTAGTAGCAGTGAATTTATTAGAGATATAGTATGAAAAAAGGAATTATGTATTGTAAAAAATACAATAGAGACGCTATTGTTGCGTGTAATCTCTCTTTTCTGTTTGACATCTTTAGAAATATAGCCTCGCTATTTAATTTTCCCCACAGTGGCTTTCTTCATTACCAGTAGGTTCCTATACCTTTCGTTTCACTGTACGAACTTTTTCATGTCAATCAGTATTTAATCATTGAGAACGTATGTTCAAAACACCCGATCAGAAAGACTCGTTACAGAACAGAAGTAACCCTGTTCACTGATTTGTACAATTTTTGGCACAGGGATAATAAAATTATAATATTGTATCTAACAAATTGATTGCAAATTTTCATCCTTGCCCAGATCAGTGCAAGTGTTAAATGTACAAAAAGAATTTTTAACGTTGAAATAGGATTAAAAGATGCATTAGTTTCAAGTATGATGCTGAAAGAAATGTAACGTGGCTGTTACCAAATTACCAAAGGTTAGATTACACTGTTTTTGGCAGAATCAGGAAAAATCTAATTTCATTCTCGTATGGTAATATATATTGTTACGAATCGCGATATGTTTGTTGCGAATCGCGATAATTGTCCCTCTTTTTGAGTCAGACCATTTAAGGAATCTACTCGGGATAGGGGACTCGGGTAGTGCTCGAAAGATAGATTATTAACGTACAACAGTTTGCTGTTAAAACTATATATTTGTGAATGAACGTTGTGCAGAGCGCGAAATGTCTAGGCTTACTGATAGGAAAATTGTGTGTCGTGTCGTGTGGTGTTCGCTATTTTATGAACTACGTGTGTATTGTGATTGGTGGTGTGAAAACTGTCATAGGTGGTGAAAGTGTGTGGTGATTGGTTTTTTCGGTGTGTTTGGGGTATGTCTGGTGGTGGTGTGAAAGTGGGGAATTTGTTCTCACATTTGTTATATTGCTTGTTGGAGGTCTGTTTATGATCTTAGGGCATGTGGTGTCCAGGTGTGAGAGTGGTCGAATTTTTGGTGTAATAAAGTAATTTGCCCATGCCGGCTAAGATCTCGCTTTTTAGAAGGTGCTGTCTATTGAAAATAGCGATGTTATTGTTCGGCTCGTCGGTACGGCCGAACAACCCAAGCGGCGTCTGTTACGCATGTGACAATATTTTTACAATGTTCTGTTACATATACAACTTGAAAGAGAAATTTTTTAAAAATTATTAGTATTACTTAAAAACCGCAGGAAGATCGGATGAATTTATACAGTGCATAAGCTCCAATTCTTATAAATCGTACTGTATTCCTTTCAGCACTTTGCAATTCGATTAGAAGAAGCAGAATTGCGCTTATTGTTAAACGCATACAAGAATGAACTAAGATAAGAGGAAAGGGGACAAAATTGAATGAAACGTAAAATGAACGCTGAACAATACATGGAGCGTAGGGAATAAAAGGCAAATGCAGACGAGTGATCTGCCAGAAAAAGAGGCTTATGGGGGAATATTCTTTGTTAGAGAGGCCCGTGGATTTTCATGAAATTTATTCGATCCGCTCTTTGAAGCCACTAGTCTCGGTGGTAGATGCATCTATCTACAAATGCAGCAGCAACTCAAGATCGGAAAAGTAACCGTAAGTGCTACAGAGTGCTGCAAGTCGGAAAATTCATGAGAAGGCTATCAACCGGAAAAAGAATCACTTTCATTAAGCTCTCTCCTCGTCTCTAGCCTCCATGCGCCTCTTTTTCCCATCCCTCTTTCTGCTCTCATTAAAGTTTTTATAAAAATGCCACAACTCCAATTAGGAAATAAATTTTCAACTCTAAACAATTTTCGCGAGCTGAGAACGCAAATTGTAGCGTCGAATGCTTTGTGGACATTTCTTTCGCAATACTTTGCAGGTACTAATTGATAGTGTTTAATTGGGATTGATTTACAGCATAAAGTTTTTGTAAACTGTTAGAACAGGACAGAAGAAAACTATTCCTTAATTTGCACAATTATTTATTTGTTATGCTTAATGTACCGTTATATTTTTATCGTTCTGCTGATAAAACATGAAAGTAAAATCCGTAAAATTAATGTAATCCGATAATTTCTTTAAAATTATAAGATAGAAGTTTCGTGATTCTACGAAAAAATGATTCTTGAACGCATATTTGTTAAGATACTCCTGTTCCTTTCAATGGCTCCTATCAATTTGAATAATATCGTAAAGAAAATTTTCAATAGATTATAATGAATTTGTAACTTGTAGCTTTTTTTCCAAAACATACCATGTTTCGTGATCAAGAGCAATCCACGATACGAGATGTTCTACAACGTGAAATTCTAGCTTCGCTTTCGCCTGCATAAGTACTTACAAATGCACACCTAACGAAGAAGACTTATTGCTAACTGTCTAACAACGTTCCTTCCAATTCTCTTCTTTCTGCTTCCTGAGAAAGTTCCAAGTACGAGAGCGCACATAACTTTTGACTCTGTTCTCGTCTTCTGTCGTAACTCGCAGTTAGATATATACGAGTTCTTGCTTGCACGAGGCTAACTTTCAATCGTTCTTCGAATAAAATCACGGCGCGGTTCTCTTGTTAATTATAAATTATTTACCTAGATCCAAGTTTAACATTGTCCTGCCAAATTTACTAGAGAGAAGCACGGCATACCAAATAGATTTTTATAGTCAATATAAATCAACCTGTTTTCATTCGATACCTAATCATTCACATCTTTAAAATTGCACAGACATTATTCACGTGTACAGGGTATCCCCTAGAATTTTCTCATTTAAGATATTCTTCTTCTGAATATTCGAATCATTGTTATCTATTCTTGTTAAAATTGCTTATAATTCAATTCGAGGTTATTTTCACTCTCATGTTATCGTATAATTATCATACGTTGTGCTTTCTATTTTTCTCTTCTTCCTCATTTTTTTACATTTTGTAATCTTGTTATAATTATGATACTGTCACGATGCAATAAAAACGATTAAAACAGAAAAAAAGTATAAAGTTCCTTAGATTCTTCCTATAAATATACTTTAACTTTTTCTCGTGATACGAATTTCTTTCAAATCTAATCGATAAGAAACATGTTTCGTTTGATAAAGTTAAGCGAGGTCTTCTGTACAGAATTGTGTGTAACAATATCTGTTTCACGCAACTTGCAGCAATGAATTTACATTGAACGTTACGTACTCTAATTTAATACAGAGTAAACATTTAATCGAGTGCGATGAACAGTTGGAATTATTACGTATGCATCACTAATATTATAACGCAAGCTGCAAATTATTCGAAGAAACGAATTACCCATTTTCTCTTTCTATACATATATTCGGTGGCTATTTCATTGTGTTCAGACATGCCATGCATGCTTCTGTAGACGTTCTTCATGATTTACTTGTTTCTTATAGGTACCCACCGCAGCAGACAGGAAGAAACTGTATTTCAACGTGGTCCAGGAAGCCAGCGGAAACCAGGTAGTAACTGTCGAAGGTGGTGGCGTGAATGCAACAGTGATTACGGCAAATATTGCTGCTACGAATGGATTAATCCATATCATCGATAGGGTTCTTGGTGTTCCATACACCACCGTGCTGGAGAAACTTAAAACCGACCCTATGCTCAAGTGAGTTGAAGTATTTCATAATATTTAAGTAAATATTTATTAGATATTTTGGATTATTTGTTTGTTTTGAAAAACCAAGGAAACAGAAATTTGTTTCATTTGGAATCTAATTGATGTATTATATTTCCCTTGGAATTGAGCTAGATCTATGAATCTAATGTACAGCTATCACAGTAGAATTTTTATTTTATAATTTTGTACTGATTATATCATCTGTTTTACACATAATAAGAGTAAATACTGAAAACTGTTCTGTGCCTGCACTTACACAAAGTTACTTCTTTGTAGTTAGATTGGTATAGATGTTAATAAAATAAATATACTGCAAGAAAGTTAAAGAAACCAAGAAATGGTAAAATGTAATAATTTATACACATGAATTATAAAATCTCAAAGCTTTTTACATCACTATTTAATTTTTCAAATTCTTTGTCAATACTTTTGAGAAAAGTTTAATGTATGCATGTACAGTAAATTCTCTACAAGAGTCAGTAAGTTTGGATTCTACAAGTGACAGTATAGATGGTCCTACGCCTAGGCGCGTCATTGCTGCGCCCATCTTATCTCGCTCGCAGTCAGTCAAGCGTGTAACGCTACATCAGTCGGTTTCCTTTACGAGATTTCACTGCTCGACAAATCATAATAGAAAAATATAATTTCTTTAATTTTACTTTTTTTCATCTGGAATTTTTTTTAACATGTTGGTGAGATTTTTC